AGTACACACCTGGTGTTTTGGGACTATTCCAAATTAAACCATAAATATTTTGCTGGCAATGTTGTAATGGGTACAATATCTGTGGTGTTTTGGAAACACTTGCACAATGTTTGTGACAAGGCAGAATAAAAACACTTTTTAAATATTAATGACGTTTTAAAAAAAATATTTTACCAAAGAATCAGGTGTGTACTTTCTTTTGAACGCCAGTTTAGTTTTGTATAGCGCTAGATTCCATAAAAACATATGCTCAAAGCGCAACAGGGAATAGAATAAAGTACATTATAAAAGACTGGATATTAGAGGGAAAATGTCAACACTAATGAGTCTGTAAACATGTACAGATTTGGTAATTTGTTCACGTAGATTACATAACGTGGATAACACAGACGTCCTTTACAACTAAAAAAAATTTACAAAATCTTTACAACTTAAAACCTGTGAAGCATTATGGTGAGAAATCGGCTGAAATTTAGTGACTATGAGATTGATATTGTATTGACCCAATATAAAACTATACATAAGGCATACTATCTAATGAATACATATAATTTTAAAAATAATTATATGGTCATTTTCATGGGGTAACGTGGATTACACTTTTTGGAGACATCACATTAAACATAAATTCTAAAAACATTAAAACATACGAAGATATGGTGTGGGTGTTGACGAAAGGGACAATAGCTTATGTCGAAAATGTAATCTGTTTTGTTCACACTAAATTAATATTTGCTTTCAAATATTCGCTCAAAATGTTATACTGTCACTGGAGACATGCACATTTTGGTGATTTTGACTAACTTTTTACCCTGAGTCCAACACATGAATAACGGATCATTAACAATGTCTTTGTCTCGGATACCTACCAAACCTGTCGCCTAATATATTGAACATGAACAGGTTAAATCAGTCAAAAAACAACAGTTTTTTTTAATGCGGAGACACGTAAATTACAAATGGTGAACATTTCGGAAGAATGGGTATGAAGTGTTCGCTCGTCAAAGACCCACATGGGTTTATAATGTGAAGTTCATTTCTGGGGTTCCCCGCCGTGATGTTGCTTACATAATGCTAAGAGCGGCGTAAAATTAAAACTCACTCACTAGGAGTCAGACCATGTGATAAATTAATTCGCCTCTTACGACAAAAAAAAACAAAAACAAAAAAAAACAGGACAAAATAAAAAAACACGGTTGCTGTGGACATTCTAACCATTATCCGACGAAGGCGTGAAAACGTAAAATGAGTTCATCCGCTTACCCTTATCTTGCGTGACCATATTGCACCCTTTAAAACTGACACGCTAAGTCATGTAGCTCACGTTAGGATACAAATCTCCTTGTATTCCTCACAGTCGATACAATCACCCGAGGACTGTAATCTATTTTTCACCAAAAAAATGTCTTATCAAACCAATTAAGATTACAACACGCCACGAAGAAGAGTTTTGATGAAAATAATACCCTTAAACTTGACATCAAGCAAAACGTATACTATATTTGTCATACCTGACGATCATTAGTATAGTAATCGATATTAACAAAATAAGCATGGCTTTTAAACAAATCCAAAATCAAACGTAACGCTTATTGAAGGCGTGCCGTTTGACTTCTAATTTGATTAAACGTCATTGTGAATGCCTGGTAGGAAATCTGGACCCCGGCAACCCATGAGTTTGGGACGACTGCGTCAGTCGTGGGAGGCGACTAACTGCATTGGCTAGTCAGACTCGCTGATTTGATTGATGCTTGACATTGTGTCTCAAATGCATGGATCTATGTGTATCGTGGCAATCACTGGATTTTCTGGTCGAGAGTATGTCTTGTAGAGGGACCGTGGGGGTAGCCTAGTGGTTAAAGCGTTCGCTCGCAGAAGACCCGGACTCGGTTTCCCACATGGGTACAATGCGTTAAGCCGATTTATGGTGTCCCCCGCCGTGATATTGTTTGATATCTTGTACAGGCCGCCGTCTATTGTTAAGTGTGGAGTTAAACACACGCACACACACGCAGACGCACACACACACACGAACACACACGCACGATGAGATGGTCAGTCACCAGTGGGATAATGCCGGGCATGTCGCCGATTGCGAATCGCCTGACCAACCAATCAACAGTGTAACTCCGTGAAGATTGTTACAAAGTTATAGGCATTTTGACCACAGTCGTTCTGATGAAACACTCTTGTGCGCCACTCACCGACGCACGCAAGCGCGCGCGCACGCACGCACGCACGCACGCACGCACACACACGCACGCACCAAGCAGGCACTCACGCACGCACGCACAAAATAATACCATTTGTCCAACGACGATGTTACGGTCCGTCAGTCGAGCGATATCGTCGAGCATGCGGGTTCCATCTGCGTAGTGGCGGTGGGGTAGCCTTGCGGTTACAGCGTTCGCTCATCACGCCGAGGACCTGGGTTCGATTCCCCACATAGGTACAATATGTGAAGCTCATTTCTGGAGTCCTGCGCCATGATATTGCTGGAATATTGCTAAAAGCGGTGTAAAACCAAACTCACTCACTCACTCCATCTGCGTAGCCGATTGCGAATCATCTGTCCACTCAAACACCAGTAGCTCCGTTCCGTGAAGCTCATCATCAGGTTATAGGCATTTTGACCGCAGTTGTTCTGATGAAACGCTCTTGTAGTTGACTTGGATCGACCACATCGACGTATGTCGCCAGCGCTATTTATTTGTAGATATCTTGATTGTAAGCCGCTAATTACTGACGGTTAAGGGCTCTACCATGCAAGCTCCAGCACACCAATTGCCGTTCCTGACTTGACAGAACCGATACGTCACAAAACGATTTATTGAGTTCAAAACAATGTTAGAACAATATCAGTGTGAATCATATAATCCTCTCTGCAAAAAGGCACACTTACATTTGCACTCTGAATAAACCGTAACCAAAATTGAATAATTTCTTATCGTTTTTAAAAGATACATTCAAGGTTGAAAAATGTATTTCTAAAAGAAGTAATGATTTTGATAAGTTTTAAAGAAAATGGTCTCCATTATTCCCTCTTTTTGAACCTGTTGGCTTTTAACCAAACCTGTTAATCAAAAGAAATAATGATTCTGATACATTTTCATTAAAATGGTCAACATTATTCGCAGTTTATTAACCTGATGACTTCGGCTAACTTGTGACATTTTTACAGGTTTTTATTGGATAACCCAGATTTATCAGCAATGTATACCTGCCTACGTATATATATATATATATACGTACTGTATGTACTTTGTATACTTGACCTGGGAACAATAAAAAAAGAAAAGAAAAGCCTATTGGCAACCGAATCGCAGTAATACCCAGTGCCATTACTGCCTTCCAATTATGCATTTGTAAATTTGCATCTACGTTTTGCCTTTTACATCCAATACAATCTGTTTGGGCAGATAGTCTAGCCTGATTATTTCCTTGAAAAAACACCAAATAACCCACACGCACAAAAAACCAATATCAGTGTTTGGTTTATCACTGAAATGAACAGCGACACACTGACACGTTTCATTATAAATTTCGATTTGTACTCCGTCAATGTTCACGTGTACATCACGTGTACAACTCATGCTTGGCCTGCACGCACCAAATTCACACGTTATGAATAGAATAATCATTTTCTAAATCCATATACAATCATACAGCTTGTTACCCAAAACGATATCACCCCATAAAATGGAATATTCCCTACCTTTTTAATAGAAATAATGGGTAATGACATGTCTGAGCGTTTAAGACAGTTATTTCTTAAATATTAAATGTGGTTAACGTATGTCTTTGTAAAGCGCCTAATATCCACCTTACAGATGCTTATTGGCACTAAGATTATATACTATTATATACTTATATACTATTATATTATATTATATCATATACTCTTCACACTTTGCTAAGGATCAAATCATGTATTCACCAGAAAACTATTATGTGGGGTAAAATGTTGTTAAATATCTAAGTTTATTGTTAGCATGGATCCAAAGTTTCAGTATGTCATGGCATCTTGTGGATCCCATACCTGCTATTGACAGGTGTAGTCTATTTGAAAATGACTCGTCCCATGATTTGCAAAATGGTTGATTGGTGCCATGAAAACCATTCTTATAGTCACTCATGTATCAAGTACATTAGGTTAGATTAAAGTGGTTGTTTGCCTGAAGGGGGTTACCATATTATTATTTATCCAGTTTTAAATGGATATAATTTCTAATTTAAATCTACGTTTACGTGAAGTTGTGAATTTTTGTGATCCTTATCAAAGTGTGAGTAGTATATAACAGATACCTCCCAGTCTCTAACAATCCAGTTTGACATATGTGTGTGTCATATCGACGACACGATAAGTAACACTGACGGAATCTCCATGACCAGTCATCATTGATGTAGTTATGCGCATTACGTATTTAAAAATAACGCCTACAAAGTCTGTGATACTGATTAAGTCTCGTTAAGTTAGATTCAATTACACTATTTAAATAGTTCACGCAAGACAAAAATATCTTTACTTTGTTATCTTACATGTTAATAGATCATTCTCAAATAGCTCTGTGGTTAAAGCGTTCGCTCGTCACGCCGCAGACCCGGGCCCACTTGCACAAAACGAACTTAGCGCTACGACTATCTTAAAGCCATTGTTGGAGAATAGTAGCTACAATAATTGTAGTACTAAGATCGCTTTGTGCAGGTGACCCCCGGGTTCGATTCCCTACACGGGTACAATGTGTGAAGCCCTTTTCTGGAATTTTGTGAAGACGGCGTAAAACCATACTCACTCATTCAATCATTCAACCACTTCAGCTTTTATCTGCAAACATCACGACTAAATATTAGCATCACACACTCTGCACCCAATAAAGTGACGTAACCTTCAGTGAAACACAAATGCTTAAACGATTAGGCTATCAAGCCCGTAGTTGGACTTCCGATAACAGTCGACATACACCGAGCATGACATGCTCTCGTTATCAGAGGCAGTAGGAGACTATTTATATCCTTATCTGTGAGACTAGCATTCAACCTAGAGAACTCCAAATCAACATGTTACCACTTTATGTAAGTAAATATATATCTCTAATTCAGTAGATTTATGGTACATACCATAATGCTATTATGAAGTAGCACTGGAACTACCATTTGGTTAGCTAAATCAAATTGAATGCCATAAGAAACTGTCTAGCGTCTTCAGAAAGCGTCACATATCTCGAAGACTATTCGTGACCATATTTCCAATATTTCCTGTTTAAAATACAAAAGGAAGTCTTTCGTTGAATAAGAATCTAAGGCAAGAGCAAGAAAGAGGTCATGTCCAATTTCAACAGGTCCCTTCGTTTTCATGATACCATCTAAATTATCTATAACAGTGCACTGAGAGATGTTTGAAAAACCTGAAGGCGTTTGAGTGGTAGAAGGAGTGACGCAAACTGTCTACATAAAAGCGGTTCCCTTTCATGCCAAAACATAAAGTTCTGAATTGTCAACTTAATGGTAAAATGTTCTGTTCCTGAAAGTAATTCCGTTGAGATTAGGAGAGAAATTCCATTTCTGCAAACTTATAGGAGTTATTGGACTAACCACCGGGTCAGAGAACGTATATACCTGTTATTTGATGGTGGTTTAAATTAAACAAACAAAAATGTTATTCAATGAACACGAGTTTAATATGATTGCCTTATCTGTGGTTAGGAACTTAATCTTGAAGTGTCTTTGCGACCGGTCTCAGTTTAGCATTATACTGACGTTTGCACATTTTTCGTGAAATCCTTTTAGTGAATTAGTGAATTTTAGTGAAATGTTCAAATTGCCCGTCATTTTATTTGATGCCATGAATACCATCTGAAACCGCGTAGACTCCAATGAAGATTTTTGTATAATCTATATACAGTGAAACCTAACAACACCGGCATTTTCTTTCGGTCCAGTGGAGTGCCGATTTAGACAGGTTTCACTGTACAGTAATGATTGGTACATGTCAATACTTCGGGGGGCGGTGTGTGTGTGTGTGTGTGTGTGTGTGTGTGTGTGTGTGTGTGTGTGTGTGTGTGTGTGTGTGTGTGTGTGTGTGTGTGTGTGTGTGTGTGTGTGTGTGTGTGTGTGTGTGTGTAAGCCTAGTGGTTAATGCGTTCGCTCGTCACGCCGAAGGCCCGGGTTCGATTCCCCGCATGGGTACAATGTGTGGAGCTCATTTCTGGTGTCCCCCGCCGTGATATTGCTAAAAGCGGCGTAAAACCATACTCAGTCAGTCAGTCAGTCAATACTTCGGTCTGACGCCTTACCAATAAATACAGAGGTAAAACTTCTCTTTGATCATAAGAAACGTATGCTGCAAGCAGAGTCGACTGTACGAATCCGACTATATATTAAGCATCTGTTAATGAATCATCGCGAAAAGTTGTCTTCTGCACCACAGCTGACGTCGGAGTGAGAAGGTTTAAGACTACATTGAACTGTATTCAAGTTCTAACGGTGTGTCAGCTCGATGTGAGAAGGAAGCCAGGGGATAGGGATTGGTACCCACGGTCAAAGGTTGACAAGGTCATTCCCACAAAGTCAACAACACCCCACAACAACCCAACGCTACCCAACCCAACCCAACCCAACGCAACCCAACCCAACCCAACCCAAACCAGCCCAACCCAACCCAACCCAACCCAACGCAACCCAACCCAAACCAGCCCAACCCAACCCAACCCAACCCAACCCAACCCAACCCAACCCAACCCAACCCAACCCAACCCAACCCAACCCAACCCAACGCAACCAAACCAAAACAAACGCAACCAACCCAAAACAACCCAACCCAACCCACCCAACCCAACCCAACCCAACCCAACCCAACGCAACGCAGCCCAACCCAACCCAACCCAACCCAACCCAACCCAAGCAAAACCAGTCCATCCCTAAAAGGTCGGCTAGTTGTTAAAGCGTTGATTGCCCAATTGTATGAAGTCCATTTCTGGTGTCCACCGCCGTGGATTATTGCTGGAATTTTTCTAAACACCCAACACACTCAAACCTTCTCACACCAACCCTGACTTCCGTTTTGTGTCGAAAACATCATGGTTTCACATCAAATGTACGACTGTACACACCAAACTGCAGAAGTTTGTAAACTGTATCATGAAACTATTCATAATATGCTGAACATCATTGAAAACGCACCACTTGTAAAAGTTCAGATTATTAAAAGCACGTGTAAGGAATTGATATTTTTTGAGTGGATTATAACAGATGGACGGCTGACAAAAACAACAACACAGAAAAGACGCTCATTCATCGAAATGTTCCACAGTCAGAAAGGATCAAACACACGTGGGGTCAAATCGAAAAGTCAATATCGCGTGTGACCGCCATTTGCATTGACACATGCAGTTCAACGTCTCCTCGTTGAGTCAATAAGCGTCCGAATAGAGTTCTTGAGGATGGCATTCCACTTCTGCAGTAGTGCAGCCTCAAGTTCCCGGATGTTTCGCATCTGTTGTCGCCGCGAAAGACTTTGCCCAATTTCGTCCCACAAGTGCTCCATGGGGGATACATCTGGCGACTGTTCTGGCCAATGAATAACCTGGATGTGTTGCTGGGCCAGATACTGCATGGAAAGTCTTGTTGTGTGTGCCCGTGCGTTGTCCTCTTGAAAAGTATAGACATCTTGGTGGTGATTGAAGACAGATACGATGCGATTCTGAAGAATCTGCTACACGGTAATAAAGGGCGTTAACTCTCCCTTGACAGACATGAAGGCAGTCCTGTGATTGTAATTTATTCCACCCCAGACCATGAGATTCCCACCCCCAAAAGGTTTGTCTGAACTACACACTCATCAGCATAACGTTCACCACGTCTACGCCAAACACGTAATCGGCCGTCAGCATTACGTAGATGAAGACGTGACTGGTCAGTGACTACCACACCATGCCATTGTCGTAACCTTTACTGAAAATGACTGCTAGCCCATTGTATACGCTCATTACGGTGTCTGTCAGTCAGAATTGGTCCAACGTAAGGACGTCGAGCATGGAGCCCTGTAGCGTGTAGACGGCGTTGCATGGAGTCAGCGCCGATGACCCCCACGTCAACCTTGAACTAGTGCAGCAGTCTTGGCAGTCGGGAGTGTTCAATCACTGATATGGACATGGTCAATATGGCGATCCTGATGGAGCGTCGTAACACGTTGTTGCCAAGGTCACTGGAGGTCACGGGTGTTGCCTGTCTACTGATGTCGTCTATGAAGCCTAACGATGGTGGAGTGGCCAAGTCCACGTTGTCGAGCAATATCCCTGCTGCTGGTGCCAACCTGAATCATGCCTAGTGCACATTCTCTTTCGTGAGGTGTTAACCTCGGCATCTCTGTCCTCGTTTCACAATCGTTAGTGAAGCAATGAGAATCGGTTCTCATACACCTGCTTTTAATGTCACAGTCAGTATGATTTCAGAATGAAATTCGCGCTTTTTTCATGGCGTGGTTGCATGTTGATGCATTTTTGAATTAAGAGTCATACTGTGGACAGGAATTCGTTTCTAAAGCATTTCTTCAACTGGACATGCCCTTCGACTTCATGTTAGTTATATTCATTGATCATTGTCATGCTGAAATCCATCTTGATGAAAATATGGACAATTTTAGACTGGTGCGTTTTCAATGATGTTCAGTATATATACGTGTTGAAGCCCGGAGAAACCCAGAACCGAGTAGTCAGTTTTTGGGGGGATCGGAGAGCGTTATCTCCCGGCTTGCTGCTCCACACCGTCAAACTGGTGACGTGAAAATCAGGTCGTGGATGCCATCGGAAAACTACAGCCGGACAAGACTGCCCCGTACGCGTTATTGCACTTAGTAACCAGTTCATTACTCCGCCGGAACTGAAGCAAGAGTTCCACGCTGCAACTGGGATACGACTTTCCTGCAGCACAGTACGTCACCGACTCCGTGAGGCTGGACTGCAAACAAGGCGTCCTTATCATGGCGCTCTCATGTCACAGGCCCACATACGGGTTCGTCTACAGTGGTGTCAACAACGTCAGGGCTGGCTGGCCTCCACGTCGATGGCGTCACGTCATGTTCTGTGTCGAGTCCAGGTTCACTGACGGACGCAAACGTCGTAATACTATCATGGAGCATAATTCCTTCGGTGCAGGGAATGTTTTGGTCTGGGGAGCTGTTTCCTAGGATAGGAGGACGGATCTTCTTGTTCCCAGTAACCTGACAGGACAGCGTAACGTCAACGAAATCTTGCGCCGCGTTGCTGCTCTGATGGCCCGCAGTGTAGGACGTAACTTCATCTTTAAATATGATAACGCAAGACCCCATACGGCTCATGTTTCGGTTGACTTTGTCAGACAACAAGGCATTGTGACACTTCCGTGGCCTGCCAAATCTCCAGACCTGTCGCCCATTGAACATTTGTGAGATGAGTTGGGTAGGAGAGTTCGTGCACGGCCCCCAGGACGTGTTAATCTCTAGGAACTTGGTGTCGCGCTTCCAGATGAGTGGCAGCGGATGCCTAGGGCAACGGTACGCCGTATAATCTCCAGTATGCCCGCCTGGTGTCGCGTATGTGTTGCTGTATACGGTAGTCACACTCGATATTGACTTAAATCCTACATGTGTTTCACATTTTTGGGAATATAAAGCATCGTTCATAAACAAGTTAGTAGGGTTCCCTTATTTTTCGTTCTCCTACTTTCTACTTGGAACAATAATTAAGGGAGGCCCTGTCGTCTCCGTGAAGGAATGAAATGGCCAGATTTGTTGCATGATTCACAGTTACTGAACGGAGACAGCAAGCTCAAATGTGAAGTATGCAGTCCACGGTGACACATTTTCGTCACATACGTGTCTATAAACACCACAGTCGAATAGTTCATTTATCGGGTCCAACGATGGAAAAGGACTCCCAAAGTGTAAATGACAGAATATGGTAATTGCATGCTCAATAGGCATGACTGATGCTGGTTAATCACCAAATGCAATAGAAGACATATCAGGGGATATTTTGAAGTGACACCCCGACGGATCCAAATGCAAACGGATGGCGTTAAGATTAGGGTAAATAGAGGAAGACGTAGGAAGCTACTCCAGTGAGTGAGTTTAATTTTTCGCCGCACCCAGCAATATTCCAGCTATATGGCGGTGGTCTGTAAATAATCTAGTCTGGGCCAGACAATCCAGTGATCAACAGCATGAGCATCGATCTACGCAATTGGGAACCGCTTATACGTGTCAACCAAGTCAGCAAGCCTGACCACCCGATCTCGTTAGTCGCCTCTTACGACAAGCATGGGTTACTGAATATCAATACTAACCTGGATCTTCACGGGTCGGAAATTACTCCAAGGCAGGATACGCCAGGTACCCATTTCCGGAAAATTTCGTTGAGGATCAGATGTTCATATCTGCCCCAGAACCGATGATGGATGGTCAATGTCAAGGCTGCCACATCATTCGGAATTTCGACTTGAACGATGCCTCCTTTCAGAGGGATGTGGCAAACTGGCGCCTGAGCTTAGAGGTCGCAAAGAGCGGCACTGGAAGATGCACCATGTTATTTAATGATTCGAGTTCTCTTTATGCTTTGAACATGGAGGACACAGTGGCTGGAGATTGCGTGGAGAGACGTACTCACCGGCAGCAGTTCAACAGCAGGAAAGGTATGGTGGCAGCAGCATTATGGTGGTGGGGCGTGGTGGGCGAGCTGCCGGGATCGAGCTCACCTGTGACCTGTTGTAAAAAACCTTGGAGTCAACTTTGTGTGCAGACTCTTTCAGTGTTGTCACAACCCCTAGTGTACAGTACACAACCCTGTGTACACAGAACCCACGAATCCGTTGGTAAATGACCAGATGGTGTCCAAATGAATACATGCAAACACCTAGTTACGGGTACAGCAACGTGCAGTATAAAGTACTATGACTATGTGTCCCAGTCCACCCAACTGTGAATGGGTACCTCGTAAGGATAGGAGAGCCACATTAACTTGTGACTGCACTGAGTTGTATGATCCCCCAGGGAGTTGAGATTGACACCCAGTGCTCGAGAGAAAACACAAAGCGCTGTGGGTATGATAGACTAGGCCCGATTCTGGAAAAAGGCTCAAATACAAGATATTGAGGCATTTTTTAGTAGGATTTGGTATCCAGGCTATTTCACCTATTTAAAGGGTGCTGATAACGAAAAAATAGGACACCAAGCTGAAAAAAGTATGTCATCACCTGTGACTGTATATCTATTTTCTAATTTGTTTAAACCTGACACTTTTTGACATCTAAAGAGTGCCAATCACGAAAAAAGGATACCAACTGAAATATATTGATTATGAACCTCATAATTGAAAAACAATATGGCCGCCAAATCGCCTTTTCAGTTGACAAATATACTGAATGCTTAGATTGGTATATGATGAAACATAAATGACCACTGTACAATTAAAATGTTAATATTGTTGTCACCACAAGATATAGAACTGCATTTCTTTAAAACCAATAAAAAATGGATTTTGTTTATAAAAATTATTTCATCAAAATTGTCATAAATTATTTGGAAAAAGCTGTTAGCAAAACGTTTTAGTTGTTACATACATTATGAAACATTACTGAGCACAGTTGTAATTGTTTTGAATGTTTTTAAAAAGGTGGTAATTTGATAATTCAAAATAATGAACGGCCACTTTACTTTTGATGACAGCCTTTCTAAGACATGTCAAGTTGCTGGTGCAATTATTGTAAGTATTCCTCCTTTTACATTGGTATTTTAAAAACTAGTGTATATCTACTTTCGATAAGGGCAAATATAAACAATAGAATGAATAATATACTGCATTTTCAGTTACAAAATGTAAGTGAAACCCTCATGTGCAATCCTATTGACTGGAAGAAATGTATGTTTTGTCAAGACGTTAACGTGAAACAACATCAGCATTCTCTATTCCGTGTTGACATTTAACACCAGCTCTGATATTCTGGACACTTCTTGATTTGACCAGGACTTGGTGTATGTGACCTAATTGCTCCCGAGGCTAAATATCATTTACCCTGTCTTAGTTCCTTTAAAAGAACTACGTCAAAAACCAAAAATGCTCATGACTGTAACACAGACCCACCAATGGCATGGTTGACCTCTGAGTTGCGTTATGATAGATACATCATCTCATACTGGTGTTGGGGTTGATGAACAAAGTGCTGTCAGTTGCATACCAGACAGTGTCTACATGTTCCCTAAACATTTGTATGTACACTTCATCCAGTAACGATATCCAAAGCTCCTGTTCAGTTGTTTCACAAAGCAGGACATACTTTACGTTACAAGCAGGTCTTGCGACTTGACACAACCATTAAACACGCTGGTTCTGTGATACCACTAAACCTCATACCAAACAGATGAACACACAGCTGAATAAGGTTTTCTCTCCCAATGCTACAGATGCTCACGATGCAGTTTCAAAGGTAGCTGGCTGCTGTGAGGATATAAAAGTTTGGATCTTTCAGAGCAAGCTGAAGCTGAATGAGTCAAAGAGTGAATGTCTTCTCGTAGGTTCTCAGCATTGAAGGGCTGAGACAGGAATCCGCGAATTCCACTTTGGAGACAGTCGTGTTCCTCTGTCGTCTGTGGTCAAGAATCTTGGGGTCACTCTGTGACTCGGATCTTTCGCTTGCCTCTCATGTCAATAACCTTACCAAACCCCGCTTTCCTGTCCTCGGGAATATTGGTAATGTTCGCAACTGCCTGACAAAGCACTCTGTTGCCACAATGGTCCTGTCGCTAATTGTGTCACGGCTCGACTATTGCAATTCCCTTATGTCTGGGGCAACTAAACAACAGCTTAACAAACTACAACGAGTTTAAAATACTGCAGCAAGGATTGTTGCACTGACTAGGAAATCAGAACACATCAGTTCTGTTCTCCACACACCTTCACTGGCTCCCTATGGAACAGCGTATCAGCTACAAGCTCCTTTGTCTTGTCTTCCAGTCTCCGGTCGGGTCAGGTTCCTCCCTTCATATCTGATCACCAGCAAGAACTCTATGGTCCCAAACCAAAACCCTGCTACATGTTCCCATGGTAAAACACATCCCACTATGGGGAGAGAACATTTGCATATTCAGCCACTAAATCCTGGATCTCCCTGCCCAAGTACCTGCAAGACTGTGAATCATTGTCATCGTTGAAGACCCAACCCAAAATCTTTCTGTTCATACTTGTCTTCTCTGTATAACTTCTCTCATCTCTCAGACATGTGCGCTTAGAGCATGTATTGTGCATGGATCTATGCTTATGCTGTTGATCACTGGATTGTCTGGTCCAGACTCGATAATATACAGACCGCCGCCATATAGCTGTAATATTGCTGAGTGGGGCGTAGAACTAAACTCACTCACTCACTGTTTGTTAATGCATGTACGTGTATTTCTGGTTCTTTTTTTTCTCAGTTCAGCTGTCTCTGGGTGATATATGTGTCGTGCCTCCTGCAAGGTGGATGGGCAGGTAAGTCATACAGAGTGATATATTCTATCCATCAAAAGTTTAGACTCACTAGTGGAAATGTAGCCACTTACTTAAGTCAACTGTTCTAAACTAGATTTCGCAAAATATTCCATACTGTTAAAAGGTACTTTTGACACATGAACTGATGTATTGTAAAACAAATTCGTCCCGTGTTAGGTATTTATCTTACCGAATGTTTAAATATCACATTATGTAAATATTACATTAAGGCAAACAGAAATTCAGTAATATATTTCGTCGATCCGAACCACTGCTTCACGGTTTACTGACTGCTGGGGATGCATACTTTTTCTATGGGGCTTGGTTTAAATACACACATTTACATATTTACACGCTTATTATACAGTCTTGGGAGGTAGTATTCCAGCGCACATAGCTCACCTAAGGACATTAACGTTGGTTCCAGAAGTCTGTTCCAAGGAAGGGTCACTCAGTTCATAGTGCGGACTGAACTGAAATATCCACGCCAATCCCTAATACGAAACCAATATTGAGGTGAGGTGAGGTGAAATTGGGTTTAACGTCGTACTTGAGAATATGTGAGTGTATGTGTGGCTGCTTGTACTAGCCCTGACTTAAGCTGGGTTTATAGTGCTAGCACACGGAGATACCAAGCTGCAGTGAAGCATGAATACCCCACTCAGACACATTATACTGACTCCGAGCCGACCAGTCCTTGTTGTACCCATTAATGCCGAGCGCCAGGCAGGGACCAACAAGTACCATATTTTAACGTCTTTTGGTATGACACGACCGGGGATCGAACCCGCGACCTTCCGCTCTCCGGGCGGACGCTCTAACCACTACACCACAGAGGCGGTACCAATATTGAAGTCATATAATGCAGATGATACTGTGATGTTTGACGCCTTATCTAGGAGCTAATATTCCACAGTTGTACTGACATTTCGAAGTTTTTTAAACTTCAATGATAACTTTATACGACAAACAGGCTCAAAGTATTATTTCAATTTATCAGATTTTGAACTTATTAATTTGTGACCTTTGGATCAAAATAAAAAAATCAGATAATCAGCGCATCGGTAACTGATCAGAGGCGGTGATTCCTTTTACTCCACTGAGCTGTCGAAATCGCTTGATATACAGTATATATGAAAACATTCGCTTCCCAATATACTTCCGTACATAAAATAAGCACCACCCTCTATTTATTTATATTTATATAATTAATTTTGTCTGAAATGAAATATTTTTAAAACAGGTGTTTTTCTGTCCTAAAACAAGTTACCTCATTTTGAAAAGTGAAAGTAATAATTTATTGTTATGCGGCCTATAAATTCGTTATTTATTGTGAATGGATGAAGGTTTGTAAAGTAAGATTTAGGAATGGTTACAGTCAAACTAAAAACCGTAAAATTAAAAAAACGTAAAAGTTGCTTTCCAAACAAAACAAACAAATCTTAGCTGTAATTATCAGTATACGGCAAGGAGAAATGTTTATTCAGTACAATAAACTCAAAATCATCAAAGATTTATTCCAAAATCATATTAATGTGGCCTTTTCTGAGGTGGCTCACGAGGTACACTCGCCAGTTGTCGCAACACGTATTCTTTGTTCAGAGGGAGAGCCGTTATAACAGGTGAAGGATACGCACACCTTACCTTTTCGCGAACACCTGCGCTTCATAGCGTTTCATAAACACATACTCAGACATATTATTACCCTTAAGATAAATTTGTCGAGTTCTGATTGATCTATAGCCAAAGCGTTCCAAACCATGTTGGCGGATATGCCAGGGTGACACGTGACGCACTACACGTGTTGTACGAATGACCTTGACCTTAGATGGAATGTGGCTGCCAAACGGCTGATCGCTTCGAAATTTTAGAGTTGGCGTATACAATATTGAGTATAAACAGTAATAAGATTGTTGCCCTAATTTTTCTTATTTGTTTGTGTCAATAAATATATTTAAAAATAAAATGTTTTTGTATTTCACTTGTCGTTTTACAAAACCTCATAAACTAAGCCATCCCGAGTTATCTCCCCTTATGACCGTTCAGGAAAAATCATTGTGAAACGTTTTGCGTCTCATTCTGCCGATGATTGAATGATGTTGTTTAAAGATAAGCTAAATAAAACAAAATATCTTAAGGGTGATAATTTCGTGACACTGTGTTTTGAAAGGGTGTACGGGACTGTCAGACCCTAGTACATTCCGTATTTCCTTCGGCTGCGCCTCGCCCCGTCAAAGTTTAGCTGCGCCTTAGGAAATACAGAATTTGCAAGTTGGTTGTCTGGCCCTGACTCGACTGTTTACAGCCCGCGTCGTACAGCTGTAATGGTATTGAATGCGTCCTCAAACAAACACGTACTCATAATAGAGTCAACTGTGCAAAGGACATATTTCTGGATGTGGAAACGGTTTTGTCTTTTTTATTTGAATCTTCTAATTAATGAACATCCGTGCTTCATACATGCCAAAACCTTGCTATCGTGTTGTACCTGAATGTCGACAACTTGCCATGTCAAGAAAAGTTCATTTTCAAATCAGGACAAAACCTGTAGTGCACAGAATGTAATTACTCACTTCATACACCAATGTGTTTGTGCAGTCCAGTATGCTTGGATATGATCGCATGTCATTGCCAAAACCTTGCTATCGTGTTTTTCCTGAATAATGTCAAGAAAAGATCATTTTAATAATAATAATAATAATAATAACCAATGTGTTTGTGCAGTCCAGTATGCTTGGATATGATCGCATGTTTATAATAATAATAATAATAATAATAATAATAATAGGGTATTTACATAGCGCTACATCCAGGTACTAATACCCGCTCATGGCGCTACAATACTATAGGAGAGAAAAAAATAGTTAAAACTATTTACAGAGAAACAATTGAACATAGAAAGTCTAGTAATAGGCAAGACGAAAAAGTGGGTTTTAGAGACGATTTAAATGTGTCCAAAGATTCAGCATTCTTGATGTGAGTGGGCAAGTTGTTCCAGAGACTGGCGGCTGCGTGTTGGAATGATCGTTTGGACCGAAATGTTACCAAATTGTCCTTGGATTCAGGTGGTGCTTAATTAATGTCCCTGTGTATATGTCATCTATTGGTTTTGGTTATCCAAATGGATGTCCCACAAGGAGTCACGCAAGCTAAACCAGTCATGCTTACGTTATGTCAACCATCGACGTTAACGCTTGTCATTTATTTCCCAAAAATACAACCATTGTGCTTTCGGCTGCCCTTCAACTAAAGTTCAACGTATACGTCATTGAGTGAGAGAAATATCAAGATAGACGCAGGTCGTGTGTGTTTTAGATTGCTCTGAAACCAACGCTCGCGGATACATTGTTGGTACAATTTTTACTAGGGCTGCGCAGTATAACCGGTTTACCTTTTATTTACCGGTTCAGACATGAAAACGATACGTATTGGGTTGCGCTGATCGAAAACCGGCATTTTGACATGCATTCGGAAAAGTTCGTAACACTCGGAAATCTTCGGATATTTCCGTTTGTTCAAATTGTTCTTTTCCTTATTTCATTTGTGCCAAATATTATTTACATTTTATCGTATTTTGTCATGAGTAAAAGTTTTTATTAAAGCTTAATCCAGCCTAGTGATTTTGTTGAGATTTTGCTTTATAGATCAAGCATTAACTCGATTATAATTGTTTTGTAAAAGCTTTTTGCAATGTATTGCAATACAGATCACAATATATGCTTTCGCATCGCAATATATAGCAATATGAAAATTCTCTGCAATACCCACCCCTACGTTTTACCGGGATCAATATCCACAAGAAGGGTAGTATGATCAGATTGTTAAGAGAGACTGCGATACGCCTGATAAACATCGGGGCGGCTGAACGCGACGTTTGAACGACAAATACGTTTGTTCATGAATTTGTTCAAAATTGCCTCTGTTCACCCAGTAGAAACTGTGAACCAGGTGAGATAAGCCATTATAAGTTGTACGCCTTTTTAGTGTCACCCGAGCCGGTAGGCGAGGGATGACACTGCTAAAGAGGCGTACATCAGACCGCATTACCCAAGATAGTAGCATACAACGTATTTGTCTTACCGCCATGTTAAATGTACAAAAAATCATTTTATTTTATTTCAAAGATCGCTACCGACTTTATGAAATGTAAACAAAATGGCGTCTGCCTCTCGACTGGATTTTTAAAATCAGTGAAACATGTTCTGACAAGCTTAAAACTGCCATAAAACATGTTAATTATGTTTAAATTGAGTGTGCAAACGATTCAATGTATAGAATAGTTTGAATAAGGAAGAGAAAGACGGTAAAATAAATGTGTACACAGTGAACTAAGAAAAAGCTAATCGAACGTTTTACGAACTCCGGGCACTGCATGCGTCATATTATGACGTCATACGATTGTTAGCGATACAGCTTTTCGGCGGTGAGTTGTGCGTTTACCGTGGCAGCGGGTAATAGTTTTTCCAGTTGTCACCCTCCTGGGAAGGGTGACGGAAACGTTTTAAAGCGTCATTGACCAATGAAATTAAAGTATTTTACATGAAGGTAAGATGAATGACTATTAACCTTCTAGCACCTTATCCGGGTAATAATGTCTGTTATGATGCATGCACTTAGAGCATATATACCCGAGCGGTGTAGCGTTCAGGGCCGCCTTATTATTATTACATCTGGTGTCAGACTTCTAAACTATTTGTTTTATTTAACTTTGTACTTATTCTATTTTTACTTACATTTATGTAATTGGGAAATACGATCATATCAACACAATTGGTACCATTTATACCACAATCTCTGTGAAGAGGCCCAGGTGCTGAGAAAGGACAAGATGTAATGATATCAGGAAATATACTATAGTTTGGCTTTATTATATCCATTCGGAACTGCCGGTTGATATCTGTTTAAGTAGAATGTTCATCTGACTGGACGATCCCTGGAAAGGTCTGACGTACAAAAGTGATTGAGTGAATGAGCGTGGCTTACGCCGCTTTTAGCAATATTTCAGCAATATCACGCTACACCAGAAATGAGCTTCACACATTGTACCCATGTTGGGATTCGAACCCGGGTCTTCGTCCCTGAAGATTATAATTGTTTTCGTGATATTATTTTATCTTATTTATTTATAGACGATTTAGTTTTGGTCAGATACCCTCATTCTGACCGTGACCACTGATTAATGGTTTGTTTGGTGAAAACGCGTGGCACATCACAATAACCTTTGTTTGTTAAACGCAATGTATTCTTCAGCTATTTCGACAGTTGCACACAGTCCGATGTATTGCCTTTTAAAGGGTTAACACTTGGAAATTTTGAGTGCTATACAACAAGACATCTATAGTTTACCACCCAGTTCACATTTCCCAAGGTATCAAATCCAACAATCGCAAGTGTACCTTTGGCCTTTGCAATATGAGCAGGGTGCCGTTAGTCTTTCCAGACGCATCTAATGCTATTGTTAGCCACTGTCAATAATATAATGGCGCAATATATATGTTAAATTATCAGTTATCTGTAAATTCGAAAGGAAAACCTAGATTATCTGCTAATCGAAATCGCTTATTTACAACGTCAATGTCTGATGTCTCCGTCGTCATATTGCTGGAATATTGCTAAACGCTGCTAAACGAGTGATAACACTCACTGTGTTAGGTGTTTATTATGGCCGACCTTATCGAGTCAAAAGTCCTATTTTAATAAGTACATTTACGATATATATGAGTGAGTTATGTTTTACTGTTATACTGTTTTACGCCGCTCTTAGCAATATTGCACCAATATCACAGCGGGGATCACCAAAATACTAAATTAGTACCATATATTATCGTAGAAATAAAAAGCGAGTTTGACATTTTAGAAACTCTTTCTGTTCAGTTACTTCATTTATGATTATATTGATGGTTAATGATTATATAATTACGTACAATGTGTTGTTAGTTTCAGAGGAGAATGACAGATTTGACCTCCGATGCTTCTCATGTCTTGATGCCAAGGATCCGATGTCATGCAATGCCTACGAAATATGTGGTGCAGGGGAGGTAACTGCTAATCTTAAGTGTGACATCCACTAACGAAGTCCAATACAGGCCATACCTAAACTTCAGTTAAAAAAATTAGCAACCCATAAAAACGTTTAGCAAGGTGTCACACCATAGCATTTGTCGGGTATTGTCCCAAGGCAGAAAGACAGTGCATTTCGAGATGCAATCCTTGAAACAGTAACGTTTGGTTCTGATGTAAACACCACTTGCTTTCTTCATGCAACGATACCCAAGCTTCGGTAGGCATGACGTCACAGTGCATGACGTCATAATATATGACGTGTGAAGCTGTGACGTAAACAGTGATGGGGTGGAAACATAATTTGAGAGTTTCCAGGGCTTCGGTCACGGCTCACACAGAAACACATAATACCTGTCTCCGCAGTCACGTCCTTGTTTGCTGCTGCGACCGCAACGACTGCTACTACTTCGTAAGGATTAGATGTATGGATTATCAACTTTATTACAACAAAGAGGCTAGAAATGTGCCTCCTCATTCTATCCTTAACATCACTTTTTTGAGAATCTATTGTAATAAAGAAGTTGTTCATCCATATATCTCATCATTACGCAGTAATCCAACTTCTAAATGCATCTCAGAACCGTAACCTAAGTTCGTGGATAACCTTGATTCGTGGATCGCGGTAATTACCATGCCTTCTCGCAAATTAAGTCTTGTATGACGCCATGACGCGGTACTTTTGATGTACAACCCGCGGGTGGCCACAGTATTACTACATTATCCATATTTTTTAGCAAGTTTAGAAATTAATCTTGTTTTGAAACGATCGCGTTTGAAAACTACCTCTCTAAACGGAACCAAACTTAGAAATAGTAGAACCGAACACGTCCTATCGTCACGTGACACTCACGTGACTGAAAAAAGTCATCAGCTCGCATCCGTCTGCTATTTTTGTCGACACGGTAAAATCCCAAGGCTTGCCTTCAGCCGTCAAAACTATTATTGTAGAACGATATCAAGATGGTCAAACTTGTTCAGCTATTGCAAGACAATTGGACTTGCCCAGAAGTACTGATTATTCTTGCGTAAACTGTTTTCAACGAAGAGGCTCGATAGAAAATCGCCATCGAACAGGTCGTGTAGGTAAGGTGTCACAGGTACGAAACAGTTGTTTGTCGCACCTTAATTTTAATGAAATTACTAATTTTTAATATGGGTAGGAATTCCCCTGTCTCACAGAGGACAATTAGACGGGTTTTACATGAGAATAAATTTCACAGGCGTATCGTTAGAAAGAAAATAAGAATTCGAGAGAACAACATCAGAAAACGTCTCGCATGGGCAAGAGGGCAAAGGTACAAAACTGTGGATAATTACTGGAATACAGTAATATTCAGTGATAAATGCAAGGTTATTCTTGGAGAAAATAATCGTGTCTATATTTGGAGACAGCCCGGCGAAGAGTACCTACCCGAATGCCTGTGTCCAGGTCGGCAGCCTCGAGTGGGTTTGATGATATGGGTTTGCATTACTTGGCATGGTGTCGGAACTTTGACTGTTGTTAACGACAATATAAATGCCCAGAAATATATAGACATAATTGATTCTCACCTCTGGCCTGTTGTAGCACGTTATTTTCCTGGAAATAATTATATCTTCCAAAATGACAATGCCCCAGTGCATGCATTGGGCCCGAATTGTACAAAACTACAGACAAAACAATGACATAAATGGCATGGTATGGCCTGCACAATCACCGGATGCAAATCTAATTGAAAATTGTTGGTTGATGTTGAAAAACAAGTTGGCCGCACGCCGACAGCGTATTCAGTCGGCAGCTGATCTCGAGAGAGAAATCAGGGATATCTGGCAAAACACGCCGGTTAACTACATACAGAACTTGTACAGATCAATTCCACGGAGAATAGTGAATATTCTGAGGAACAAAGGTCATATGACCAAGTATTGAGGTAAGTCACCCTTTATTTGATGCTCTTTCACCATTTGAATAAACTGCACTGACAGGAGGCGTGGCACTCGGCCGCCATCAATGTACGTCATACTGTGGCCACCCGCTGTACATACAATGCCACGCCTCGCTGACAAAAATATTCCGAATCTCTACATTACACGTAAGTGAACTAAATCTAATTGTCCAGCACTGAGATAAATAGCCCAAGATCACTAATGCCACCAATACCAAATTTTATTTATACAAAATGTCAAGTTTGAAAGATGCTGTCAGCACCAACCTTCTCACATCTCGTCGTCTGCTTTCCTAGGTGTCAATACTTACTGGATGTCGTACATAGTGGTATAAAGTAACCGACTACGTAATCCACGAAACAAGGTGACGTCACATTTTTGGGGCACACGAATGGGTGATGATTGCAAATGGCTTCGGTAAACAAACGTTTCATTCACGAGTGGAATATTAAGCATTTTCAATTTGCTGAATCAAGGAATAAAATAATCAGTGAGTATACAACATAAAATCGTGCATTTCGCCGCACTTCCCTTATATCGACGAATGAAGGTTACGCGAGTGTACAACATATTCGAATACTACTATTCCTCCGACTACTAATCATATTACTTCTACTCCATCTACAACTACGTTACTACTAGCACCACTACTACTACTACTACTACTGCTACTGCTACTACTGAGATTGCTACTGCTACTGCTACTCCTACTACTGCTACTACTACTACTACTACTACTACTACTACTACTACTACTACTACTACTACTACTGCTACTACTACTACTACTACTACTACTACTACTACTGCTCTACTGCTACTACTACTGCTACTACTACTACTACTACTACTGCTACTACTACTACTACTACTACTACTACTACTACTACTACTACTACTACCACTACTACTATTACTACTACGACTACTACTACTACTACTACTACTGCTGCTACTGCTACTACTACTGCTGCTACTACTACTACTGCCACAATCATCCCCCACTACTACTATTATTACTACTACTACTACTACTGCTACTACTACTACTACTACTACTGGGTGGTGGGGTAACCTAATGGTTAAAGCGTTCTCTAGTCACGCCGAAGAGCCGGGTTCGATTCCCCACATGGGTACAATGTGTGAAGCCCATTTCTGGTGTCCCCCGCCGTGATATTGCTGGAATATTGCTAAAAGTGGCGTACAACCATACTCACTCATTCATATCTGACTACGTACTACTACTACTTCACTCACTGCTACTACTACGTACATAATGTCTACTACTACCACAACGACTACCACTACTGTTCCACTACCGCTACCACCCCCACTACTGCTACGGCTACTGTTCCACTACCGCTACCACCCCCACAACTACTACCACTACTGTTCCGCTACCGCAACCGCCAACGCTACTGCTACGGTTACTGTTCCACTACCGCTACCACTCCCACAACGACTACCACTACTGTTCCACTACCGCTACCACCCCACTACTGCCACTACATTCACAATTACTGTTACTGCTGTCACTTAGTCTTCAGCAACTACTATTCCCGCAACGACTACTTATACGACTCCTACTACTACCACCACTACCACTACTCCTCAATACTTCTTCAACCACAAGTACTAAGACTACCTTCACAAGACATCCTGGAAACAGTGACACTGCCTCTCAATACAAAATATACAGTACAACATATGTAGTTCAGTCATCTGTGAGGGGCGGTGGGGTAGCCTAGTGGTGAAGGCGATCGCTCGTCACGCCGAAGACCCGGGTTCGATTCCCCACATGGGCACATTGTGTGAAGCCCATTTCTGGTGTCCCCCGCCGTGATATTGCTGGAATGTTGCTAAAAGCGGCGTCAAACTAAACTCACTCATTCATCTTTGACTTTACTACTGATTAAACGGCGAAGCATGTACAAAATATTCACAAGATTAACCCCTTAAACGATAAAATAAAAAAATGATGCGACTCATATTGAGTCTTGGGAAATATGCGGTTGAATGAGTGGGGAAGGTTATCGACCTATATGGGGAACGACCCGGAGTTTCGGTGTGACGGGCGAATGCTTCAACCACGAGGCTACCATCCGTTCAACGGAGTTTCATGACGCCATCAGGGCGTTGGGGATAGCCTACTGGCTAAAGCATTCTCTCGTCACTCCGAAGACCCGGTTTCGATTCCCTTCATGGGTACAATGTGTGAAGCCCATTTCTGGTGGGGCTTCACACATTGTACCCATGGTCTGATATTGCTGGAATGTTGCTAAAAGCGGCGTAAAAAGAAAAAAAACTCACTCACCCACTCACTCAGAACGCCATCTCATAACCTGATTTGGACGTTTGATGAAGATGTTTGCAGTTTCGTTAAAAAATGTATGATGTGTGAGATTATATTTATCTTATCTGGAACTGACGTTTTACATTTAGCTTTTCCGTGAACAATCAAAACATGCCATCAGTGTCGGGTGTGACGTCATTGATGACGATTGCATGTAACGTCACATGCGAAGTTCTACTCTTCGTCATTACTGATAATTTTTCACACAACCGGACAGTTTTCTGTTTCAACTGAGTGAATATTGATTGACATGCCATAACGTTTCTACAAACAGAAGGAGAGACAGAGAGAATTTTTATAGCTGACGTCACAGAAACTATATACATGATTTCGACCCTCCTTGGTCAATTTTAATATATTTTAAAGACGGAGAGATATCTCGATGACCCGAAAATTCTGAAACAACCTTATTTCGTCACTGAAATGATCGAAACGAGTTACTTTAAAATAACGTTCCCATTTTATTTTGCAGGAATGTTTCACTCGAAAATTCACAGATCACCTTGGGAAGCCAGCATTCAGGCTCGGTTGTGAGTCCAAAATAGTAAGTCCTTGCATTGCTGATGCTGATAGTAAAACCATGTTGAAAAGGTCTAACTGTATTACTTGGCTTATTTGAATCAGGGAAAGTGCTGAGCTAAGGAAACCTCTTTTCAAATCCAGCGTTAGTGTTTGACATACATAATTTATAAGTTCGGGTTAGAATTGGTCTTCAGTACCCTATGCTTGTCGTAAGAGGCGGTTAAGGGGATTGGATGGTCAGGCTCACTGATTTGGTTGCCACATATCATCATATCTCATTTGCATAGATTGATGATCACTGGATTGTCTGGTCCCGATTCGTTTATTTACAAATCACCGCCATGCAGCTGGAACGTGCCAAGGGCTGCGTTATAATGACCACCGACATGATTTCATCGTCTGTTATTATTATTACATTCCTTGTGCATGATGTACCAGTACTGTTTTCTTTAAATTGCAGCTTTGCAATCTCTACAAAAATGCTCTAACTATTATCGGCAAACGTACCATCGAGGACGACAGCCAACGTGACTGCTTCGACTGCTGTGACGCCGACAGTTGTAACGGCGACATGTGTGGAGGGAACGCAACACAAGGGTACACAACTACACATGGTCTTATGAATGTAAATGTTACAACGTCAGAGACAACGGCAGAGACAACGACCGAGACAACGTCAGCACCCACAACTGAAGCAACACTACCGCCGCCCAGTAAGTCACACACTTTATTCCTGGTCCAGACTCCATTATTACGGGCCACGGTTGTAGGGCAAGTGTATTATTAGGTGCAGTGCAATTCAAGTAGGCGAGTGAATGTGTAAAACTTTAACGTTGTATTGGCTTTATTTCAGCCATATACCGTAAAAGAACTAATTCACACATTGACACAAGTCCATTATGAGCACAAAGTCACACTCGAAAGCAAACCTTACTTACACATTTCAGCATCTTATTATTACTTACAGTGTAAAACACGGACTGCGACTATATTACTTACAATGTAAAACATGGGCAATGACAAGAACTTTACAGTGTAAAACACTGACTGCGACTATATTACTTACAATGTAAAACGTGGGCAATGACAATAAATTTACAATGTAAAACACGGACTGCGACTATATTACTTACAATGTAAAACATGGGTAATGACAATAAATGTACAATGTAAAACACGGGCTTCGACTGTATTATTGACAATATAAAACATTGGCAATGACAATAAATTTACAATGTAAAAGACGGACTGCGACTATATTACTTACAATGTAAAACATGGGTAATGACAATAAATTTACAATGTAAAACACGGACTGCGACTATATTACTTACAATGTAAAACATTGGCAATGACAATAAATTTACAATGTAAAACACTGGCTATGACAATCTTATTTACAATGTAAAACATGGGCAATGACAATAAATTTACAATGTAAAACGCGGGCTACCACTGTATTATTGACAATGTAAAACATGGGCAATGACAATAAATTTACAATGTAAAACACGGACTGCGACTATATTACTTACAATGTAACACATGGGCAATGACAATAAATTTACAATGTAAAACACGGACTGCGACTATATTACTTACAATGTAAAACACGGGCAATGACAAGAACTTTACAATGTAAAACACTGACTGTGACTATATTACTTACAATGTTAAACATGGGCAATGACAATAAATTTACAATGTAAAACACTGACTGCGACTATATTACTTACAATGTAAAACATGGGCAATGCAATACAATTTACAATGTAAAACACGAGCTACGACAATATTACAATGTAAAACACGGGCTATGACAATGTTATTTACAATTTAAAACACGAGTTATGAAAATACTATTTACAATTTAAAACAGGGGTTGTTACAATATTATATTAATATTCTTATTACGATTGCATAAAGGCAAAATGGCGATCGAAGACCATACCTACCACAATTGCCTTGAAGTTCATTCCCCTTACATGTGCGTGGATCTCGTCTGTCATCGGTGTTTAACCCATGACACACTCATTTCCGATAGAACGAACTTTTGACCAAAGGAGGACCCGTGTGAATGGTGAGGTCGTAACAAACGAGATCAATTTGAGATCACCTGGTGAAAAAATTAAAACATTATCATATACTTCCAAAAACCTTTCTAGAGATGACTTTGTATTTAAATGTATGTGACGAGGTCAGAAAGGCCCACCATATTTTAACGACCATTGGTTGGTACGTGATTTTTCGAGATGGTGTTACAGAAAATATTCGCGTCATTGAAATGTTCGTGTGATTTAACAATAAACGTCTGTGGTGATGCTGATTTAGGGATTTTACCAGCGCTTTCCGACATCCATATTTCGCATTCCGTCTGAGCTCGACTTCCAGTAACTTTGTGTTGGGGGTTTGGCTGTGCATTGTTTTTATTTGGCCCTAAGTATTTTATGATTGCTTCGGTCTCTTTGTCTCTGTTCCATGGCCGTGACGCAGGGAAGAGCAGCACTTGAATAATGACAGGCGGTAATATCAGGAGGAAATTGATCAGACAGCCTCTTAGCAGAATATCCAGAAACAGTTATGAACTTCTAAAGAAATTAGATAGTACGGGGGATATAAACTGGGTCTCATGACGTGAATTATTGTTTCAATGTGGATTTGGCCATGTATGGATCGCACAAGATGTTGCCGACAGGGATTCTTTTTTAAAAATGTTCAAACAACGATGTAAAGATATATACCAGCATATATACCGTATAGATCGCAATAGATCAAATCGGCAATAACTGCATGTTTCACTTAACATTGCATGGTAGCGCTGGCATTGTGTACATTACAATATATTTACATTGTACTGTTGGCCTCCGGGCCATATATACCAATAAAATCTGTCTGTCTGTCAATATCAGGAGGATACACACGAGGGAAAAGATTTGCATAATTACTAGGGCTGGATAAAATTATCGATTATCGGAAATATGGTCGATAGGAAAGATCATTAATGATTATCGATATGAAAATTGTGTTATCGATAATATCGTAAATTCACTTTTATTATACTTACATAAATTATGCTTACTTAGCTTATAAATATGTATAGCCCTGACTGCCATATAGTGAGTGAATGGGTGAGTTTAGTTTTACGCCTCTTTTAACAATATTCCTTCAATGTCACGGCGGGGGACACCAGAAATGGGCTTCACACATTGTGGGGAATCAAACCTGGGTCTTCGAACGCTTTAAACGCTATAACCACTAGGCTACCCAACCGCCCCTGTCTCCACGCACACACAGACACACACACAGAGTCTGTCATGACTACTAGGATAGAGGTGATACCATTGTATCAACGAACTTAACGCCTACAACTGTGAAAGTATGCTAGTAGTTAAATTAACGTTTCCATACATGTGTTTTGCATAAGAGAACCACATTACACAGTTAATGCATCAATTGTTTTATTTTTCTTACAACTATAACATATTTTATTTGGCCTTAGATATAAAGGATGTATTTATAAGTGAAACAGGTAAAAGAGCATGCAAAGCGAGCAACAGGTCCTTAATCAGGGTCAGTAACTCGAGCGGAACATTTGACTTGACTGAAACAACTGCACTGGTAGGAAAGGGACAGACCTAAATTAATATATTAAAGTTCCACTACCACTTCTACATTAAAATGCGCAAAACCTAGTGGCTGCAAGAGCTGTATGATCCCCAGGGAGTTGAGATTGATAATACGACATGCCTTTGTGATTGACATCTAGTGATCGAGGGAAAAACAAAGCGCCTTTGAGCAGCTGAGCTGGATATCGGCACTATATAAATGTTAGCATAATAATAATAAAACCCATTCTAGTACTTATAACTAGTTGTCATTAGTAATACTGACACTGTCTACTAATAGCTAAAAAAAGAAGTATTAAAATATTATGAAATCTCAAAATTTATTGCCTTTTCTAATTGTAACTATGCAAGTTTTCATTCTTTCTGGTCATCCTTCCATTTACTTTTTCGAAATACTATAACTGACTGACTGTAACTACATGTATTTTGTATATATGTGTACTATATATATAAGAGGTAATTATGTATTTACATCAACACTACTCACTGTACACTTAAAATACTTTCAATTGGGAATCATAAAGCTGCTGTAATGGAAATTGTAACATAAAAATGGAAATAAAAAACAAAAAAACACACAAAAAAACACACGAAAACTAATAGCTAAACTGAAGACTAAAGCTAACTACACTATATACATTATAAACTAACATTTCTGTGCTAATATCAATACGAACTAATGTTAATGGTACCCTCGTGGTTAAAATGGGGCAGTCAAGCAAAAACACGTGACTGCCACGTGTGTAAGATGGCCGCTGCTCAGAGTTTAGTTTTACGCCGCACCCAGCAATATTCCAGCTACATGGCGGCGGTCTGTAAATAAACGAATCTGGACCAGACAATCCAGTGATCAACAGCATGAGCATCGATCTACACAATTGGGAACCGATGACATGTGTCAACCAAGTCAGCAAGACTGATCACCCGATCCCGTTAGTCGCCTCAAACAACACGCATGGGTTACTGAAGATCAATTCTAATCCGGATCTTTACTGGTATCTTGTATCCAACCACAGTAGAATTGCAGGGCGTCTATTTGACAAATAGAAGACAGGTCGCTAATACAGTTTACAAAAGTAACGGAGCGAGTTAAACTTTAAAGTAACACAACAACAATTAACATATACATGACACAGAAGTAGGCGCTTCTTTGACGTCGCACACAAAGTTCTATTCCAGCCATGCGAAGGCGTCCTGTAAAGAACTATCCATTATTAAACCGTAAACAGTATTAAGTTTATTACCAATATTGCAACACAATGTCCATGACGTTTGTATGCATATATTTCAAAGACATATGAGTTGAGCTTTGTATGTGACACAAGGGAATATCTTCAATGCCCACAACAGATGACGTTTAAACTATTGCAGAACCATAAATAAATTATGATGATTCCATGAACATAGCATTAACATTAACAGCGGAAGGACTTTTTCCGTGGATAGGAGATTTACGAACATTACCCAGTGGAGTTGCGCTTAGTTGAGTACAGTCTTCATGAATCGTAGAGTCCCCACAAGAATTATCGATCAGATTTCATGAATGTAATGAATTGTCATGAATGCATGACCACGTCATACACATGTTAAAATGTCATGGAACCGATACTTGGTATTTGTCACGTCTGTCAACAACCTTAATCGATAAACACATATTGTCAAATCTTCTAAATTAAAAAAAATAATAATGTTGTAAAATCAAAAGCCTTTTATCTGAAAAGAAAACCTTGTCAATGTCAGAAGAAGACTAAAAGCTTAATACGCACCACGTGTATTTACGTACAAAGGAAATTGTTCTAAAGGCCTCTGGGCCAACGCCACTGAATAAAATCAGTACTTATCTTAATCGGAAATATCATGTCAAGCTGAAATAACTTGACAGTAAAACCACTGGATTGTAACAGATTGAGATTTACAACTAGCAAGTAACCACAGCATGATATTTTCTAAACGACACAATATAAAACCGGCATATAGATTGCCAACAACAGAAGGAAGATCACCAAACAAGAATATGTCTATAGATGCCTGTCAAGGTGAATAAGGGTTAAATCACGAGGGTACTGGGCTGATCGTCATTGAAAATATCATTGCAGGTTCAAATAACGAGATCTGGTAACGATGTTTTTAGCTGAATGTCAAACTTGATGAAACGAGAACAAATTTGTACGTTTACTACATAAACCTTCTTAAGAGAAACATACATTTCTGTCTACACACTCACTCACTCTCTCTCTCTCTCTCTCTCTCTCTCTCTCTCTCTCTCTCTCTCTCTCTCTCTCTCTCTCTCTCTCTCTCTCTCTCTCTCTCACACACACACACACACACGTGGTCACTTCAGCTCACATTCCAGAGTATCCTTAACCTACTCCACATCAAAACGCAATCCGACTGTTTACATAAATTCCAATATTCCTAAGACAAACCTACATTTTTGTCCGCTCTTACACACTCACTCACTCGCCCACACACTCACTCAAGCTAAAATTTCAGAGTCCAAATTTCATTTCACCAAGTCAACATTAACATGTACTTTCTATGCACCTCGACACTCATTTCAGAGTGTCCAAACACCTAGTCCACATTAACATGTACTTTCTATACACCTCGACTCTCATTTCAGAGTGTCCACACACCTACCTGACCGGCCCCGGATCCTGCTACTTGCTTGTCAATTCCTCTCAAACCTGGCATGAGGGGGATGTTTTATGCAAACAGCTGGGGGCACAACTCATGTCCATCAACGACAAGACAGAGGACGACTTCATCACCAACTATCTCAACACTCTCTCAGGTCATCAAAATTAGATTGTTCAAACTTTGCGAGAAATGCCGAACGCGAGAGAGAAATGAAATCAGACAATGCTTTGATCGTTGCTTACACTATCAACCACGGGACTGTCATTTTACGTGCTTGTTGTGTTGCCGTAGTGTTCTCTTCACTGGTTGTGGCACATGTTTCATCTGACATATAGCTGGTATATTCTAGCGGATGCGGTCGTGCATGTTCAAAAAGACTCTAACAAAGAAATCTGACCTCAAGATTTACCTTACAAAAATATTCTACCATGTCATTGAAGGATCTAATTAGATTGTCAATATCACTAAATTATCACCGCGTATACAGGAAAAAGCGTTCCTTTACAAGAATCCAAATAGGTTTATCCCTTTAAGGAATATTATCTTGTGATAATTTACTGTTGTCATATGTGCCATTCTTATGCTGTGCCAAAGAGACTGAATTCAAAATTAAAATGATTATTTGCGTCGACGCAGTGACTGTAAGAATATAATGTCAACGTCTCGAAATAAACTTCACGCCTAACCATCGTGTCCTATTAAAACTGGCCATAAAACATCCAAGTCAAAATGGCCACAAAAAGTCAAAATGGCCACAAACACCTAGTCAAAATGGCCATACCAAAAAGTCAAAATGGCCATAGAAAAAGTAAAAAAGGCCATACATTATTTTCTTATTTTTTGATACTCATAACATATCCCCATGTTGTATTATTTGATATCAAGGTGTAAAAATGACAAAAGAAGTTATATCAGACAAAACGTGATGTTTATTACACATCAGCAAATCACATTGTTTACAAGACATATATATGTAGGTTCTTTCTGCATGTACATGCACGTTTGTACTGTTACTCCTGGCGCCTACAACCTCGTAGGTCACCTTTTCAGCAATGGAGCAGACTCCTGTAGATTTGCCATTGCTGCTTCCTTCACTTGAAAAGTATAAGAACAATTATAATAAACACAAAAATTAAGTATTAATTGATCATTTATCAAAACACTACCCAGGGTCTTAAAATAGCATCTAAAAATATTAAGAAAACATTGCGAGAGTAATTAAACAGTATTACATAAGAAAACATCTCAAAGTACAGGATAAAAAACACACCTCAAAATATTAAATAAGTAACAATCTCAAAGTATCAATTAAGAAAGCATTTCAACAATAATACTCATTAATATGAAAACAAAAATAATGTTTGGGCATTTTGACTTTTTCTATGGCCATGACTTTTTGGTATGGCCATTTTGACTTTTGGTATAGCCATTTTGACTTTACTATGTGACCATTTTGACTAGGGTCAGTGTGACCATAATTTTGTATGGCCATTTTGACCCGTTCCCTGACCATCAACCCAACCTATCCCGAAGCCGAATATTCAACGGTTCGTCCCTTCCATCTCGCAATTTCGTAATACCCCTGCATCGTATTTCCCACTTAATAAAGGTGTTATATCAACAGGTTCTCCACAAACAGATGGCTACTGTATTTCCCATTGAATACAGATGTTATGTCAACAGGTTCTCAAATACCGAATGGCTACTGTATTTCCCATTGAATACAGATAGTATATCAACAGGTTCTCCACAAACAGATGGCTACTGTATTTCCCATTGAATACAGATGTTATGTTAACATGTTCTCCACAGTCAGATGGCTACTGTATTTCCCATTGAATACAGATGTTATGTCAACAGGTTCTCCACAGTCAGATGGCTACTGTATTTCCCATTGAATACAGATGTTATGTCAACATGTTCTCCACAGTCAGATGACTACTGTATTTCCCATTGAATACAGATGTTATGTCAACAGGTTCTCCACAGTCAGATGGCTACTGTATTTCCCATTGAATACAGATGTTATGTCAACAGGCTCTCCACAACCGGATGGTTACTGTATTTCCCATTGAATACAGATGTTATGTTAACATGTTCTCCACAGTCAGATGGCTACTGTATTTCCCATTGAATACAGATGTTATGTCAACAGGTTCTCCACAGTCAGATGGCTACTGTATTTCCCATTGAATACAGATGTTATGTCAACAGGTTCTCCACAAACAGATGGCTACTGTATTTCCCATTGAATACAGATGTTATGTCAACAGGTTCTCCACAGTCAGATGGCTACTGTATTTCCCATTGAATACAGATGTTATGTCAACAGGTTCTCCACAACCGGATGGTTACTGTATTTCCCATTGAATACAGATGTTATGTTAACAGGTTCTCCACAGTCAGATGACTACTGTATTTCCCATTGAATACAGATGTTATGTCAACAGGTTCTCCACAGTCACATGGCTACTGTATTTCCCATTGAATACAGATGTTATGTCAACAGGTTCTCCACAGTCAGATGGCTACTGTATTTCCCATTGAATACATATGTTATTTCAACAGGTTCTCCACAACCAGATGGCTACTGTATTTCCCATTGAATACAGATGTTATGTCAACAGGTTCTCCACAGCCGGATGGCTACTGGGTAGGGGGCTACTACGACAAGAGTACGTCACAGTGGAAGTGGCAGGATGGTACAAGTATGACGTACGTCAGATGGGGACCTCATCAACCAGTGTCCTATGTCAACTACAACGTGAACCTGTTCAACCCACGTGTCTCTGCTGAGTACCACAACTGGAAGTGGTCTACTAACGTCGAGTACGCAAGCAACAGGTGGCTCATTTGTGAACGTCCGTTCATTTAAAGAGAACGTCCAAGTTGGGTCCTTCGTTGTACTTTGTGAACGTCCGTTCATATTACAGGGGACGTTGAACCTTACATCTTACTCTGTACCCGTTTGAATAAATTTCATGCTGAATCTGCATATTTGCACGTTTGTGAAAGAGTGAGTGAGTTTAGTTTTACGTCGCACTCTGCAAACTATTCCAGCTATATGGCGGCAGTCTGTAAAAATCAAGTCTGGACCCGACAATTCAGTGATCAACAGCATGAGCATCGATCTGCGCAACTGGGAACCGATGACATGTGTCAACCAAGTCAGCGAGCCTGACCACCCGATCCCGTTAGTCGCCTTTTACGACAAGCATAGTCGCCTTTTATGACAAGAATGGGTTGCTGAAGACCTATTCTACCCCGGATCTTCACGGGTCTTGTGAAAGAGAGGGCTGCATCTTTGTCTTCCAAAAGAACAAAGATGCGCCGTTAAATATAGATGACGTATGGAATCAACCTCATCATGACGCCTCACTACCAGATCACATCTTACTATCAACACAGGTTGCTAAGGATTATTCCCAAAACCGTAATGGCCAAACGTCAGGATATATAGCCTTATGTCTACCATTTCATATCGAAAGAACAAATTGGCAACTGTAAATTTAATATGCTGAACAACATTAGAAACGCACAACACTAAATGCACCGACGATGCTAAGGGTACATTTTAGTCTGACGGGGATATTTCGTATTATATGGATGGTGCGTTCCTAATGTTGTTCAGTATATAAGGATCTCTTCTGGTGAATATATGTAATATACTGCGCTTTCTTGTCACGTGTTATCGCTTTCTCGGTTTCTCGCGGCCGTATAGTATGGTCACCATTATATAACATCATATTACTGTAGGGGCGGTGGGGTAGCCTAGTGGTTAAAGCGTTGGCTCGTCACGCCGAAGACCCCGGGTTCGAATCCCCACATGGGCACAATCTGTGAAGCCCATTTCTGGTGTACCCCCGCCGTGATGTTGATCGAATATTGCTAAAAGCGGCGTAAAACCAAACTCAGTCAGTCAGTCATATTACTGTATACCCGTGAAGATCCGGGTTAGAATGAACCTTCAGTAACCCATGCTTGTCGTAAGAGGCGACTAACGGGATCGGGTGGTCAGGCTCGCTGGCTTGGTTGACACATGTCATCGCTTCCCAGTTGCGCAGATCGATGCTCATGCTGTTGATCACTGGATTGTCTGGTCCAGACTCGATTATTTACAGACTGCCGCCATATAGCTGGCATATTGCTGAGTGCGGCGTAAAACTAAACTCACTCACTCATAGTACTGTACAATTATACCTGTGAAACTCCGGGTGAGAATTAGTCTTCAGCAACCCATACTTATTGTAAAAGGCGATTACGGGATCGGGTGGTATTCTTGATGAGAATCGGGACACATAATGCATTGTTTACATCTAGATAATGCTTTTATGTACTTATGAGGTGTTAATATTAACAGCTTTGGATTCTGCTATGACAATTGGTTATCTGGCTGATATAGCCCTGGATCCAGTGACACTAACATTGGACACGATATTTCCTCAATGATGCGACAGATCTGTAAATATCCTGTCCGTCTCGACTTTGAGTGAGTGAGTTTAGTTTTACGCCGCTCATAACAATATTCCAGCAATATCACGGCCGGGAACACCCCACCTGCCGTCTGATAAATACGGTGCACATGATAAATACAGTGATGAAATTCCACTGACACCTGTAAAATATAACATTAGCTCCAGGTGTTCTTGGAACGAACACGGAAAAGCGAATTGCATCACAAATACCTGAAATGTTTAGGGACAAGCACAATTGATATTGAATCTTTTATTCGAGTCATTGAAAACATACCTGGCTTGCATACAGTTTCTTCCATGTTTAAATCCCGAAGTGGATCTAACTAAAGGACCATCGCCATACAAGCTGGGTTTACTCGCACTTGATGCAAGTACACATCTAATATTTAACAGCTTGGACGTCAACAGTTCGACGTTGAAACATCCAGCTAAATCAATTTCCTCGTTGTTTGTTCTGAAGCTGTAGCTGTGTACCAAGAATTTCTGTGTCTGTGTTGTGACAACTTGCAAGCTTGTCAAGTAATATTCTAACGGGCAGTCTTCAGCATGTGTAGCCTTACTATCTTTGTATATGATAAATATATCATTTGGATTTGGATGATTGTAATTTTGAGCTCCACGGCCATGAGTTTGAGAGAAAATATTTTCAAGAAGACAGCAGCAGCGATTCCAGCCCGTTTAGATCCTCCACAACGTCATCAACAGCACATGGTTTCAGAGTTAACAGACTGTGCTCGACTGTGTTCACGGAGCACGTCTTGTGTTGACCTACAGTACTCAAACACAAGTGGAGTCTGCATCACTGGACATACTGAAGAAGTATCTGATGGCCACATTTCCCAGAGTGGACCGTTTGACTTGTACAAGCATCCTTTTAAAGGTAGAGTATGTATTTTTGTATGCACGACTGCCAGATATCCAACTCATGTGAATAAACGCCGATAAAGAAAATAAACCCTTCCCATAGTCTTGAAAGATTTCTCCTGAAAGCTGAATCTGTTGTACGATTTCCACTGATCAGACGCATGTGTTTATGATTCAAAATTAGTAGTGATTATATGAGGTGTTCGAGAAAAGGTGAAAGGAGAACTCATTGTACGATTTCCACTGGACCACACGCACGCGCTTATGATTCAAAATGTAGTAGTCTTTATATGAGGTGTTCGCCAAAATGAAAGTAGTCTTATATGAGGTGTTCGCGAAAGGTGAAAGGAGAACCCATTGTACGATTTCCACCACTGCACGCCTTATGATTCAACGCAGTAGTCGCTTATGATTCAAAATGTAGTAGATTTCTTTATGATTCAAAATGTAGGTGAGGTGTTCGCGAAAAGGTGAAAGGAGAACCCATTGTACGATTTCCACTGGACCACACGCACGCGCTTATGATTCAAAATGTAGTAGTCTTTATATGAGGTGTTCGCGAAAAGGTGAAAGGAGAACCTATTGTACGATTTCCACTGGACCAGACGCACGCGCTTATGATTCAAAATGTAGTAGTCTTTATATGAGGTGTTCGCGAAAAGGTGAAAGGAGAACCCATTGTACGATTTCCACTGGGCAGATGCACGCGCTTATGATTCAAAATTTAGCAGTCTTTATATGAGGTATTCGCGAAAAGTTGAAAGGAGAACCTATTGTACGATTTCCACTGGACCAGACGCATGTGTTAATGATTCAAAATCCAGTGGTCATTATATGACGTGTTCGCGAAAAGGTGAAAAGAGAACCCATTGTAATATACAGCTGTATCATACGCATGCATTTATGAATGAAATGGTGGAATGGGGACTTTAGACTGGCAAGATCATGTACATAGACAATGAATGCAAAAGTAATTTTCATTTACATTTACTGAAAGCACTGAAAGCATTACGAACTGTGTTTTATGGTAATGCCTTTGTTCATTAATTAATTATTGAGGATGTTTGTAACAGTGGTTGAGTGAAGTATACTGTATAGTCATATCAGCAGTATTTCAGCCAAACTGTGACAAGAAAATGTTGGCATACATAATAAATACATGTTATAAATTCATGTCATAAAACGTATGTAATTAATTAACTAGACAATCCCAGATGGTGTTTACAACTAGCATGTAAAACTATGTTTCCATTGAAGACAATGCAATATAAAACCAGGTTATAGTTCGCCAACAACTGAAGGTAGATCACCAGGGACCATCGGGGCACTTTTGCTGTCTGCAATGACCCGAGCTTGATTTACATCGTCCCGTCGGATGTTAACTAATTTAAAGCAAACACTTATTCTGCGAATGGAAATGTGGCAGAATTAAATATAAGACGAGGTTTGACGTACCCTCTCAGGACAATAATGTTACGGTACTTTAACTCCCTTTGAGGATGCAGCCACTGACAATCTCAGTTGCCATTCTATACCACCATTCATAACATACCACCTCTCTATTTACAAAACATATCACTCAAAATGTTTGAAACAAATCTTTTTCTTTGTTATACAAAATATTAAACGAAAATTGATATCTTCTTTGAGAGGCATTTTAGAAGTTGTATAGATGAAGGAAAACCAAGTTCTATGGATAATCAACTTGTTTATTGCAATGAGTGCGACGTTTCTCTGTAGGTACTATCAATCATCACTTGCTTAATAACGGTGTTAGTACCTACACCGAAACGTCGCACTCATTGCAATAGAAAATTAATATGATTAAAAACAATCCTCTACATACTAACATATTGATCCCTTGTGATGGACAAATCAATAGTCAAACAGGACGTGATTCTTCTATCACAAGGGATATGGAATGGAGGATTCACACCATTTAACAATCCCCAGTTGTATTTAAGAGCTGTTAATAGCGGTTGCTTCGGTTGTGAACATAGAGCTGTTTTTTTGGTAAACAGAGGGGATATTGTTCTCGATCCAATGCCAGTCGCACAAGCAACTACGACACCATCTTTGGATCCATGAGTACATAAAGATCTGTATGTGTTATATTTACTCCTTAACTGATTAGATGTCTGTCTTATGCTCATGCTGTGGATCACTGGATTGTCTGGTCCAGACAGGATTATTTACATATTGGTAGAATTTTGCTGAGTGTGGCGTAAAACTAAACTCACTCACGCACTTGAATGTGGTCAGTGTTAGGAATACTTGTTACCTCACCAATTGCCAGGGAGAAGAAAGCAGGCGGAATTGGAATATATTTTCTTGTTCAAGGTTAGCAGCGGAAAGAAATGGTTCAATTTGTCTTCCAAGAGATGGAATAAGTGAAGATATTGTATTCTTAGGTCCTTATAAAGAGGATTAAAAGACAGCTGTATGCAGGTTTGTGGGCATCTGGGCTTATCGACCATTTTGAGGAATGTTATTATAATGTCAAAATCTACTCAATTCTCGAAGTTGTGCTTGGAACGATGACAATGATGCAACTGCGCCCCATATAAGTGGTGTTTGGGCAATCGAAACATTTCATTATATCAACGTTATTTCATTTCAATGATCCAAGTCAAATAGAAGATAACAGCTAACCATTGCTTGCTGTTGTGATTTATTATTTGCAACACACGCCCTCAATTTGTGTTAACATCCCCAATGCACACAGGTCAGGGAAGGAAACAGTAAAATCTTAGTCAGATGAGTTTGTAGCTGTAAATTGTGGTGCATCAGAACTAGCAATGATTCAACCCACTGGTGTAGGTTGGGACGCAATCAGCCAAATCTTCGAGCCTGACTTCCATGACGTCGCCTCTTACAACCACCACATGCTGCTGTCATCCAACTCTAACCCAGGCTTCCCACAGCTTCCCACTGTGGTCACCTCTTACAACCACCACAGGCTGCTGTGATCCAACTCCTACCCAGGCTTCCCACAGCTTCCCACTGTGGTCGCCTCTTACAACCACCACATGCTGCTGTGATCCAACTCCAACCCAGGCTTCCCACAGCTTCCCACTGTGGTCGCCTCTTACAACCACCACATGCTGCTGTGATCCAACTTTAACCCAGACTTCCCACAGCTTCCAACTGTGATCGCCTCTGTATTGAGTCTTGAAGACAAACCCCATCCGCGTGTTTCCAATTCTGGTAGATGCTGAATATTTATAACAACATAACACGAACACATTCAATAATTGCATGAAGAATATGTACAGAAATGTGCCTTTGTGTGATCAGATTTACCTACATTGCAGATCCTGGAACAGATCAAACGAATCAATACATTCATTAAATGCAGGGGGTAATGAAAAACATAGATTTAGATGGATGGATGCATGCAGAAATACACAATTACCGTATACTGGGAAATTTCAAGGTACTAAAATTTCGGGGTTTGAGACCCCCAGAGCTTTCGAGGTGATTTAAATTCCGAGGTTTGGGGACCTAAAATATATAAATATTTTAGACAATTTTAATTTCGAGGTTAGAAGAAAGTGGCCAGAAACATCACTTACCGGACCAATACTCACGGAGCTATCGGCAAAACTCCTAGTAGCCAGTGATTTTGTTGTTGTTGTTGTTGAGTTAGATGCTTCGGAGGTCGCCTTCGCCGGTTGGCATGTCGGCAGACCTATCCCTCCTTGGGATGCGTGGGGTGTCCCTCCTTGGGACTCGTGGGTGTGGTGGCGGTGTCCCTCCTTGGGACTCTTGGGGCTGGACCGGGTTGTCTTCGTGGCGTTGGGTCTGGGCGTCTCTCCTTTGGCGCTTGGGTCGGATTGTCCCTCCTTGGGACTCTTGGGCCTGGACTGGAGTGTCCCTCCTTGGGACGCTTGGGGCTGGTCTGGTGTGTCCCTCCTTGGGACTCTTGGGCCTGGACTGGAGTGTCCCTCCTTGGGACGCTTGGGGCTGGTCAGGTGTGTCCAACATCGGGACGCATGGCTGGACATGGCTGTCCCAGCTTGTGTTGACCCTCTTCGGGTCGCATGGTTGTCCCTGTTTGGGACGCGTGGGTGTAAGTACACGAGTGTTTGTGTGTACATACACTATATATATATATATTTTCTTTTTTTTTCTTTTTTTTTTGGAGTGGACACGGCCACTCCCCTGCTCACCCTCTGGGGAGCAGACACGGCCGCTCCCCTGCTGTCACTCTGGGGAGCGGACACGGCCGCTCCCCTGCTTTCACTCTGGGGAGCAGACACGGCCCCTCCTCTGCTCACACTCTGGGGAGCAGACACGGCCGCCTCGCCTGCTGTCACTCTGGGGAGCAGACACGGCCGCTCCCCTGCTATCACTCTGGGGAGCAGACACGGCCCTCCTCTGCTCACACTCTGGGGAGCAGACATGGCCGCTCGCCTGCTATCACTCTGGGGAGCAGACACGGCCGCTCCCCTGCTCTCACTCTGGGGAGCAGACACGGCCACTCCCCTGCTCTACTCTGGGGAGCAGACACGGCCGCTCCCCTACTATCACTCTGGGGAGCGGACACGGCCACTTCCCTGCTATCACTCCTTCTTCCACTCTGGGGAGCGGCCATTTACTTGCTCTCACCTTGGAAGGTGGACATGGCCACTCCCCTGCTCTCACTCTGCTCTCTCACCCTGGGGAGCGGACACGGCCACTCCCCTGCTGTTACTCTAGGGGGTTGACACGGCCACGCCCTGTTTCAAGACCCTCTTTGGGACGCATGTGTTGTCCCTCTTTGGGACGCATGGTGGACTGGTGGACCAGTCTGGCAACCGGGCATGATGACAGGCTGTGCGACCGGCGTGAGCGTGGTGGGCGGAGCCTGGGTGATATTGTCTCCCTGTTCTGGCTGGGCTGGTCCTCTGAGGTCAGGAGCTTGGGTGGTATAATCTCCTTGGCGCCCTCGAGCAAACTGAAGACTGGCTTGATTGATATAATTTCTTTTTAGATAAACTGACATAGTTCACTTTCCAAGAGGAAGTTGGCTAGCGGTCTGTACATTGCAAGGTGCTCTGTGGGAGCCAGCAGCCGCATGGCTGTCAATGTACCTAGCCCTGTTTCCTCTCTGAGTGTTTGCCTGGTTGTGTCAAACCGTTGGCAATCTAGCATAATGTGAGGGACTGTAGCTTTGGTGTGGCATGTTTGACAGTTTTTATATGAGGTTTTGGTGGTACCTAGTCTAAGGCGGGTGATCATGATGTCGACTCGCCTGTTTTGTGAGGGAGTAGTTCGTGTCACTTTCACACTGGGGCGGAGTCCATGATACCATCTGCCTTTGTCTGAGGTGTCCCATTGCCTCTGCCACTTGCTAGTGATCGAACCTTGGATCATACTTCGAATTTCGCTTTTTGAGTAAGGATGATCCAGTGACACGTCCAATTCTAGCGCCTGTTTAGCTAGTTTGTCGGCTCTCTCATTACCGGGAATGTCCATGTGAGATGGTATCCAGCACAGTGTGATCTCTTTCTCATTTTCCCTTCTTAGTTTCTGAATGAGAACCAAAATGTCTCGGATGGTGTCAGGTCTACTGCTCGAATGCTTAGTCGCCAGTGACTGTAGTGCACTGAGAGAGTCAGAGAGGATGACCACTCTTTTCTCTCTAAGGTTTTCACTGTACCTTAGTGCATGGTGTATGGCTTCTAGCTCCGCTGTGTAGACTGACTGTCCGTCAGGGAGGCGGACCGAGATTGTTTGGTTGGTAGAGGCTGTGTATATCTGGATACCATAGGCGGTTCTATTTCTCACAGGATCCTTGGATCCGTCAGTATATATGTGAGCTGAGTCTTCGTAAAGTGAGTCAATCCTACTAAGCGCAATGCTTCGTAGCAACATTGGGTTCTCACTTTTAGGCACTTCATTTGTGAGATTGGTATCGACATTGGGTGATTTTAATTCCCATGGGGGACATTGCACTGTCATTTGACATGTTGGAGGCTCTACCCGGTCGCATCCGTGTTCTCGCCTAAGCTGAATGCCTCTGAGCTCGCCTGGTGCTATGTCAGGTCTCTTTTGGAGCCATGCTTTCATGCGTCCGGGGTAGAGTTTCTCTTCCCATAGTCTAGTGACAAGTGGATTGGAGCAGCAATAGTTCAATGTCATCTTCTCACGCCTGAGTTTGAGTGGTAGCTCCCCAGTTTCCACTAGTAGGTGGGAGGTATGGGCCGCCGCGCCCGTATCCAGTTTAAGAGCACGATATTGAATCGTTTCAAGCCGGTTTAGAACCGTTTTGGAGGCGCTGTGGTATGCTTCACACCCATAGTCTATTTTGCTTCTGATGAGGGTCTTATATAGGGTCAGGAGAGTATCGCTGTTAGCTCCCCAAGAGCTGCCGGATGCAGCTCTTATTGCATTGAGGTCTTTCTGACACCTATGGGCTATGCTGTCTATGTGTTTTGCCCATGTGAGGTGTTGGTCGAAAGTAACCCCGAGGAACTTAGCTGATTTCTCAAATTTGACCGTTTTGCCCTTGAGTTTGAGACTGGGTGTGTTGCATATTCTGCTACCCTTCCGCTTGAATACCACTCCGATTGTTTTCTCAGGTGAGATGGTAAATCCCCATTTGTCGCACCATTTTTCCACACCATCGAACTTAGAGGTGATGATGTTATCGTCCTTACGGACATGTTCAAATAGGTCATCAATCATGATGTTGAAGAGTGTGGGACTGATAATGCTTCCTTGCGGCGTGCCATTATCTAACCTATGTCGATCAGACAGGTGGTCTCCAACTAAGACTGATATTGACCTTTCTTGCAGAAAACTTTGAACATAGTTTGCCAGTTTCCCTTGAACACCAACATTCTCTAGTTTTTGGAGGAGTCCATCGTGCCATACCATGTCGAAGGCTTTGCTGAAGTCTAAAAAGACAGCAGCTAGGTACTGTTTCTTGACCTGGGCTAATCTGATATCATTTTCCAGTCGGAAAATGTGGTCAAGACATGAGCGGTTTGATCTGTAACCGCTCTGGTCATGGGATAAGAGTGCGTTTGTCTCAAGGTGGTGCTTTAAGCGAATGTTCACCATTCCCTCCATACTCTTGCACAGATTTGATGTGAGGGATATTGGGCGATATGAGTTGGCCGATGCCTCCTCCGTCCCTGGTTTGAGCAGAGGTATTACTGCTGCATGCTTTATTGCATTCCGTTCTGAATTTTGACCAGTCTCCTTTGGAGAAGTTCCACCGCTCTCTAGGGTTTGAGATTTCATCGCATGGAGGTGGGATACCGAGAAAAGTGAAGCACGGAGAGTGATCACTTCCCCAACTGTCATCATGAACCTGCCACTGGCAATCATGGGCTAGGTTTTTGGTGGCAATAGCAAGATCTATGCTGGTCCATACTCCTCGGTTAGGACAATGTCTTGTAGGAGAGCCATCATTCAGTATAACGAGCCCCTGTGACTCTACCCAATCCTCCACCATCCTGCCTGGGCAGTCAGAGTGGTTGGTTTCCTCACCCCACAGCGGGCTGTGGGCGTTGAAGTCGCCAAGGATTAGGCCTGAATGCCCGACCAAGTCGCTGAGTGTGTCAAGCTCCTCGATGTTGGTGGGATCGGCAGTCCTGTGATAGACGTTTGCAATACGTATCTCTTTGCTATTTGCCATGCTGACCGTGATGACCTGGGTTTCAAGGCTTCCCACCTCTGTTTTGACCTCAGTGGATGTACAGTTGTCGACGACAAAAGTGACCAGTCCAGCCCCATTCGCCCCGCTCTGTCTTTGCGGTATTGTGTGTAGCCAGGTAACCGAAAGTTTGCTCTCTTCCCCAGTTTCGCTTCTTGAATTAGTATAACGTGGGGGTTCAGTACCTGTTGTCTGACTAGGGCTATGAGTTCTTGGCCATGCGACCTCAGACCATTGGCATTCCATTGCAATATTTGTAAGCACATGATGACAGTTGTGTCCTTATTATTTGTAGCTTAAATGTTTATTTAAGCCTATGTATCTGCTGTGTGAGATAGGAAGCAGATTGCCCAAAGGACAGGATGCTGGTTGCCAACTCCCAGAGTATGGTGAGTTTTGTCCCTTCATCACTGTCCTTCTGTGTGCCAAGTTTGATTAAGGCGGCGCACATGAATTCAACCAGCTTGTCTGGGGTAGTCTGGTTGTGGGCATTTGTATTGCTGTCATGGCATATTTCAGCATGCCTTTTGCCTGTTCCCGTTGTGCTGGTGGTTTCAACATTGCCCGTGTTGTTTGCCACCTTATTTGGACCCTTTTTGCCCCTTTTCCCTCTCTTGCCTTTACGCCGCTTTGGTTTGGCACCCTTGCCCGTAGGGTTGCCTGCGCTGCCTGCCTCAGCGTCTTTGTTCGCCCGTGTCTTAGCATTGACCTTGCCCTTGGTCGCCGCCTGTTTATTGCCCTGAACAGTTTGTGTCGTCTGTTTAAGGCCAAGAGTCTCCGTGTTTAGACTCTGTTTTTTATGCTGCCTGCTCCTGCAGAAGTTGGATAGGGTCGAGTGTCCCTTAACTTTGCAGTTCGTGCAATAAAGTGAGCAGCTGCCCTTGCAGCTTTTGGCTGGCCTAGAGCATGTTCGGCATTTTGCCTCGCCGAGGCAGTTTGCCTTAACATGCCCGTAATTTAAACAGTTGACGCACTGTTTTGGTCGCCTGAGGTAGGGAAGTGTCGCTACTACTTCGCCTGCCACTTTGATCGTCTCTGGGACTGTCGTTCCCAATATTGTGAGTATTACTACTCTGGTATTCCTGCCTTGGCTTTTAATCCTATACATGTCGGTTATGGTAGGATCGTGTTGCTGCTGGGTTGTGAGCCTTTCGTCACTGATACCCTTATCAAAATGCACCGCGCATCTTGTGTGTGAGACCCAGCCTGGCACTTTCCAAACAATAACCTGGTCAAGGACTTTTGTGGGGAGCTTGGCGCAATGATTTATGTTGTCACCTCTGACTACATACTCCCGATTTGCGTTATGTATTTTTGTCACAGAGATTGACTTTGCTAGTTCCTCCCGTAAAGCTTGGGCCGAGACCCTGCTGGAGAGGGTGAGGTTGTAGTCTGTACAGTAGACTAGCCTCTCCCATCCCTGCTGCTTTGTTTGGAGGGCAGCCTTAGCCGTAGCTTTGGCTTGTCTAGCTTTGTCATTGGACTTCTTAATATTCCTGGTCCAAAGCTCTTGAACTAGTGCCCGGTCTGACTGGCTGATTTCAGTGTAACCGGTGTTCCCCTTGGGCAGACTCATTGCAGCTTCTGAGTAGGAGCTGTTTTGACTTTCTGCTGTGTCAATTTTGCGCTTTTGGGGTTTGTGGGTTGCGGACTGAAATCCTGGCTGGTCTGACCGGGACCGTTCATAGGCTCTTTCATTTCCGAGCTTTCTCTGCTGGGGCTGGGCATTCCCCTTATGATATTTTGAGGGCTAGGCACTCCCTCTTCGGACTCAGAGTCCATTTCTATGTTTATAGATATTGGGGTCGTCACTCCCATATCTGTGCCAGCTCTACCGGCGGTTGATGTGGAGGTAGACACGGCTACCTCCTTGCTAACTGTAAGGCCCTGAGAGTTGGGCAGACTCTCGGGCTCAATCTCCTTGGCAGTCACGGCTGCTCCCTTTCCTCTCTCTAGCTGGGGTGTAGACACGGTTACACCCCTGCTTTCCCCTGGGGGATCAGACACGGCCACTCCCCCCTTCACTCCCTGGTTGGTGGTTGCGGCAACCACCTTTCTCTCTCCTTGGGGGTGGTCTCTCCCTGGGGGTGGTCACGGTGGTCACCTCCGGCGAGTTGACACGGCCACTCTCCTCCTTTCACCATGGGGAGTGGACACGGCTGCCCCTACTCTCTCCCTGGGGGGTGGTCACGGCCACTCCCCTGCTCTCCCTCCGGCGAGTTGACACGGCCACTCTCCTCCTTTCACCATGGGGAGTGGACACGGCCGCTCCCCTACCTTTCCCGTTGGGGGTAGACACGGCTACTCCCCCTACCTCACAGTCCTGTTTTCTGTGTACCTCGGCGGTAACAGAGAAGGTGTTCCCAGAGTTGCTCGCCATGAGTAGGCTGGGAACAGTCCCCCGTGAGTAGAACCCACAGTGAACTAGACTTCCTTGTCTTGAGTCTTGCTTGGCTGCTTCCCTCTAAGCTCCTTCTCCTATCGCAGCCAGGCTGCAGGTGAACCACTGATAACTGCTGTCTGACTGTTATAACTACCGGTATACCAAGCCATGGCAGCAATAATAATAATGAAAACAAACGTTTGATCCTTTGTTTTGATAAATGACCCATGAAACACAGAGTTGAAACATGACAGCATTTTTTCTCAGACGATATTGTTTTCTTTACAACTAACTATACCTCGAACATTTCCCGGTATACGGTATGTGAACACGTTTGCCAACATCCTTGGGTTGCAGATCCTGAAACATGCTTTGAGATCAAACGAAACAGCCCCACAGCCGAGAGCGGGGAGTACTACCTCCATCCTTCAGCCCCACAGTTCCAGGGTCTGTCGGTGAAGGTCTACTGTCTGATGAATGACACACACCAGCTGGAGTACGTCACTCTGCCCAACAAGAACTTCGGACACTACCCGAAAAGGTCCAACAAGAATTGTAACAATGAAGTGCCATATCTAATAGGTGGCGCTGTTGGATGGGATGGTGTAACAAATTACCACAAGATCAGAGTACAGCCTTCAGTAAGTTAAATGATTTATAGGTCACGAATACGCAATGCCTCTATGTGTTAAATCTTTGACTTTTGTGCGCTGTTGATTCGTTATGGGTTCGAATCGTGGAGGGCGGTGGGGTAGCCTAGTGGTTAAAGCGTTGGATCGTCACGCCGAAGACCCGGGTTCGAATCCCCATATGGGTACATTGTGTGAAGCCCATTTCTGGTGTCCCCCGTCGTGATGTTGCTGGAATATTGCTAAAAGCAGACGTAAAACCAAACTCAGTCAGTCAGTCTACGCTATAACAATTATTGTATTTAGAATAACAGGGGCAATTTTGAACAAACTAGGGTGAGACCACATAAGTCACATGTGCTTCGTTGTGGGGAAGGACCGAAGTCCTAGAAACTCTCAGGACTGACTGAGTATGGTTTTACGCCGCGTTTAGCAATATTCCAGCAATATCACGGCGGGGGACACCAGAAATGGGCTTAACACATTGTGCCCATGTGGGGAATCGAACCCGGGTCTTCGGCGTGACGAGCCAACGCTTTAACCACTAGGCTACCCCACCGCCCGTTATAGCGTAGAGGTCATTGTAGTTGCTACTTGATATATTTTTCATTTTGCTCCGGGATTAAGTGTCTGACTGGTGGAAGGGCGTGGTAAAGAGTCATCTTTGAACACGTGATGTACTGAACAATTCTTCATGCTCGAAGGGGCGGTGGGGTAGCCTATTGGTTAAAGAATTCGCTCGTCAAGATCCGGGTTCGATTCCCCACATGGGTACAATGTGTGAAACCCATTTCTGGTGTACCCCGCCGTGATATTGCTGGAATATTGCTAAACGCGGCGTAAAACCGAACCCACTCACTCACTCTTTATGCTCGTTGGCTGCGTGTGTAACGACACAATCACCAATAACCTAGCGAGATGTGGGTTGCTTGTCTTGTACAGACCCTGACCTTCATCCTTTCAATGTCGGTGTGACTTGACATGCAATCATCCTAGTCAGCCAACCTGACCATCCATCTATTTAGTCGTCCTCCATGACAAACCAGAGGATGCTTGGGATCTCTTCTCACCCGGTACATGGGGTTGATAATAATTGGTATATCATGGTTATCATATGCAAGTCCATAAGCCTAAAGGGATATACTTTTACACTAAGGGACATAATTTGATAAGAAGAATGTTTGGCGAGAATTGCAATTCAGGGTTACCTTGAGTGGAAATCATAAGCGCCATCCAAAGTGAACTTAACTCACCATATGTCTAGAAAAAGGCATGTTTCTCGCAAATTTCATGCAATTCGAACATCAGCTGTTTTCGTTTCTTTGATACACTCCTTCTCTGGTTTAAGTCAAAATACTACAATATTACCCTCTGCCTTTGAGTATATAATTTATGTATATTACTTGTGAGGGAAATTATAAAACCATATTTCACAATTCTCTCATTTTTAGACCATGGCAGTTGTGACAACGGACACTACGTTCACAAGTGGGAACAAAACGAAGCCCCTACGATATGGTGACGCAGAAGATTGTTACACAGAGGAAAAGCACTGTCAAAGATTTGGGTCCTTTCACATCAACACACTGGGAACAAGGATGCGGTTCACGAATAATGTAGGTATTCCTGTTGTGTCAGAGTGAGTGAGTTTAGTTTTATG